TTCCTTGATCACACCTCAGCAAATGAGAAAATGAGACATTATAGCAGCTGTGGCGGCACATGCCTGTCGTCCTAGCTACTCGAAAGGCTGAGGCAGGAGAATTGCTTCAGCCCAGGAGTTTGAGGTTATAGTGAGGTATGATATCACCATTGCATTGCAGCCTGGGCAACAGCTGTCTCTGAAAAAAAGGAAAAACACAGTGTGAGCTGTCTGCATGTGCTCCGTGTCTCAGGAGACCCATGTCCTGTAATTTTTCTAAATGACATCTCCATGTGCTTTTTCACGAATGTTTGTCTGGTGTTTCTATCCTTTTACTTTCAACTTTTCTGTATCTTCTACTGAAATTATGGCTTTTGTCAATAGCCTATTGTTATTTATTTATTTACTTATTTATTTTTACCCCCTTGCACTATTTGTCTTGTAATTAGAGTATTTGAGTCTATTATATTTAATGTAATTGTTGACCTCGTTGAGTTTAAGTCTGTACATTGTCATTTGCTGCCTTCTAATATTATCTCTTTCTGGCTCAACTATTTTTCTTCTGTTTCCTTCTTTAGATGAATAAAAAACTTTGCATTATTGTAGTCTCGTGACTAAGTGTTCTAATTATACGTTCTCTTATTATTTCTTTAATTATCTGAGAAAGCACAATAATCTGTGACTTATTATAACCAACAGCAGACCGTAACTTCCCTGACTTTCACCTGCCTGTGCAGACAGCCCAGGGGAGAATCAGTGCTCTGGCTCTGAGACACAGGGGTGGCGGAAGTAGGAGAGTGATTGGATGATGAATCTGTAGCTGCAGAGGCATCTGGGCCCCTCACCTGCATTCCTCGTAGATGTCTCCTCCACTGAATGCCTGCGATGCCCTCTCCTCTGTATGCTCCTGCCAGAGTCTCCCCATCTCCACTGATAGCAGCTCCACCCTTCTGCTCACTCAGTCCAACACTGTAGGTGCCCTTGATTCTTCTTCTCACACCACAGATAAATCCATTACCAAGTGCTGTGAAGTCCATCTTCACATTCATCCATAATCCCTTCACTTCCCACTATTTTGCCTGCTCACACCCGAGTCAAGGTAAGCAACATCTCCATTCTGGAATATTCCACTCCTTTCCCACCATTTTCCCCACTACCTCACTGGTCCCCACCTCCCAATTCTGTTCTCAGCACAGCAGCCAGAGAGAAGCTTTCAAAGGATAAGTCCTACCATATCCCACTTTTCAACACTGTCCTCTAACTCCCCATGTCATTCAGAGCAAAGGTCAACATCCTTCCCACACCCTCCAGGGCTACCTGCTCTGTCCACACCTCTGACCTCATTTCAGTTTCTCTGTGTCCAGCCCTTCTGGCCTCTTCGTCCTTCCAGAACACAGACAATTTCCTGCCCTAGTGCATCTGCACTGAAGTTTCCCTGCCTGAAAAGAACTTTCCCAGACATCCCTGTGGACAACTCCTCACATCCCTCAAATCTTTACTCCAAGGTCACATTTGCAACAAGGGCCCATGCTGACCACCCAGCACCACAGCCACCTCCCTGTCCCCACAGCCCACACTCTGGATCACCTGCCAGCCCCACACACCCAGCACAACAGCCACCTCCCTGTCCCAGCCACTCTGGGTCACCTGCACCCCAGCACAACAGCCACCTCCTGTCCCCAGCCCGCACTCTGGATCACCTGCCACCCAGCACAGCAACCGCCACCATACACAGCCCGCACTCTGGATCACCTGCCACCCAGCACAACAGCCACCTCCTGTCCCCACAGCCACGCACTCTGGATCACCTGCCATAGCACAACAGCCACCTCCCACTGTCCCCACAGCCCGCACTCTGGATCACCTGCCACCTTTACAGCAGCCACCTCCCTGTCTGACCCGCCTCTGGATCACCTGCCACCCAGCACAACAGCCACCTCCCTGTCCCCTGGCCACTCTGGATCACACCTGCCACCCAGCACAACAGCCACCTCCCTGTCCCCACAGCCCGCACTCTGGATCACCTGCCACCCAGCACAACAGCCTCCCTGTCCCCACAGCCATGCACTCTGGATCACCTGCCACCCAGCACAACAGCCACCTCCTGTCCCCGACCGCACTCTGGATCACCTGCCACCCAGCACAACAGCCACCTCCCTGTCCCCACAGCCCGCCTCAGGATCCTGCCTGCCCCACAACAGCCACCTCCCTGTCCCCAGCCCGCCTCTGGATCACCTGCCACACGGCACAACAGCCACCTCCCTATCCCCAGCCCCTCTGGATCACACCTGCCACACTTACACACCTTCTAACTCAGCATCTTCTGTTCCTACTCTGCTTATACTATGTCTATCATCTGCCTGCAGAGGTGTCCCCACAGCCCACACTCTGGATCACCTGCCACACAGCACTTGCCACCTTCTAACTCAGCATCTTCTGTTCCTACTCTGCTTATACTATATCTATCATCTGCCTGCAGAGGTGTCCAATTTTTTGGCTTCACTGGGCCACATGGGAAGAAGAAGAATTGTCTTGAGCCACACAAAAAATACACTAATGACAGCTGATGGGCGGAAAGAATAGAAAAAAAATGTTCATGCATAATTTTCATGATATTTGCCACCACAGATAGGCAAAAAAGTTCTCGCATTCAAAGCTGTCCTGGGTCACATGCAGCGGGTTGGACAGCTTGCATCTAGAATATATGCACCACAAGGCTGGAAATTTTTCAGTTTTTACTTTAATGATGTTTTCTAAATGCAGAAACAGTCGTATCCCTAGCAGACAACAAATGTCAGTTGAATGAATGATCACTGTAGAGCACCTCTATATTCTAAAGGCAATATCTTTATTAATGTAGCCTCAGGTCAAATGCTGTTTCATGGCAGCTAAAGAACAACATCATCTCACACCACCATCAGTGCCACCAGTGCTTTTCTCACCAGGGCTGCTTGTGTGTCCTCCCTCCCCCCACACCAATCCTCCTGCACACTGCAGCACACAACCATGTTTTTCTGTTCAGGAAAGATAATCCTAGGCTTCTGGGTCCAATTTTCCTACCACATATGAATCTAAATTAGACTCTGCTTTATAAATCCATGAGTTTGGATTGGAGCCAGCATTAAGATTACTACAACTCAGGGCAGGAAGATAAGCAGGACAGCAGAAGAGGAGCTCCAACAGAAAGTTACCTATGATGAGAAGCTATGGGACTCCTCCTCTCTGTAAATTTCAGAATCTGCTTCCTTTAAGAAAGCTGGGGAAAAAGATGGAAAATACAATCCAGGAAAGAGACCTGGAAGGAGGGCGAGAGATACAGGGGTCTGAAAATTTGTCTCTTGATACCGGAAGGACTTCTATGTGTAAGGACCACCCTACGTGACATCCAAGTCCCTGTGATCACAGGTCCTGATGGGACAAGGTTCTACTGAAGGGCCAAGGACAATGGAGCAGCAAAGATGACCCAGCCGAGCTGTGACCACATAAAGCCCACAGTGGCCCAAGTACCCACTGGGCACAGCCCCATCTACTCTCCTCCCTTGCAACAAATCAGCACAAGAAACACGTGGACTCTGGAACATTCTCAGGTCTTCCATTTATTTTGTCTCTCAAATTTTAGGAATCTTCTCCTTTAATTAACTCATCAACCTCTCATGGCAAGAATTTGAAAAAAGTAAATTTGTACTCAGATTCTAATTTTAATAGGGAAGCAAGAAGTTACAGCTCAGTGCACCATGAAGTTGAGAAAGAGATGGAGACATCCCAGCCCTACCTCTCTGGAACAGGAAAGGTGATGGGGGAAGGAATGCAGGTCAGCGTGGGGAAGAGGGTCATGGTGGACACGGGGCTGGGGTGGTCTCCCCACCTCCTCACATTATGCCTACAGGGACACAGACACATTCAGATGCCTTTGTAGAAACAGAAGTCAGGGTTCTTGAAGTCACAAAGGGAAGGCATGAACAAATCTTGCCTCTCAGTCCCACACAAGGCAGCTGTCTCACACTATAGAAAAAATATTCATGAACAAATTCGTATCAGTCACAGCGAGGGGTCACACTTTAAACAGCCCATCATGTACTCAATACATCCAAGTCAAAGAAACCCCACAGCACAGCTATGTCCACTGTTACACCCAACACCCCACACACATCAGGCCCCCCAAGGTCTCACCTTTATAAGCCTTGAGAGACATATGAGAGCCCTGGGCACTTTGGCTACCTGGGGTAGAACAGAAACAGAAACTGGTCAGATCCCGCAGGAGATGTGGCTAGAGTTGGAACTGTGGGCTGGGTGAGCTCCCCCATGGTCTCCCGACCACAATATCCCAAGGATTTCAGGGATCAGCCCCCTTCATACTTACTTGCAGCCTGAGAGTAGCTCCCTCCTTTTCTGTCTTTGGGAAGAAAATGTCCTGTGAGAGGCCAGAAAGGTGGCAGGGCCATGAGGTCCTAGAGGAATCCCCTAGTCTAGGACCCTCGAGAAGTTTCCAGAAACGTGTGACTGCAGACCACGGGCAGGATCAGGAAAAACAAGGAAAGCAGATGTAGGTCTGGGACCAACTGCCCTCCTAAGGTCTGTCCTCAGCAGCGACCTTCCCCTGACCTGTGACTGCTGGGATCAGGTCCCCATCACTACAATCATCAAGGTGATAAATCTGTCCTTCACTGTCACAGGTGCTTTACAAAAGAGTAGGTGCTGGCACACAGGGCCCAGGCTGGGTTGGCCCATGAGTGTGGATGGTGCTTCCCAGTAACTGGGAGGGCACACTTCTACCTGGGGCTTGGAACCCTCAGTGAGACAAGAAATCTCAGACCCCACCTGTCACCCCTTCCTCACCTGAGCTCTTCATCCTCCATAGCACAGCAGCGACCACAGCTCCAGTGATGACAGCTGCAAGGATAACCAGGCCAGCAACGATACCCATGATGGGGATGGTGGGCTGGAGAGACAGCTCTGGGAAAGGAGGGGAATGTGAGGGTTCTGAACCCCAGGCCCCAGACCCGACCCTGCTAAAGGTCTCCAGAGGGGCTCCTGCTTTCCCTAAGAGACATGATACCTCCATCTCCCTCCTTACCCCATCTCAGGGTGAGGGGCTTGGGCAGACCCTCATGCTGCACATGGCATGTGAATCTCTGCTCCTCTCCAGAAGGCACCACCACAGCCGCCCACTTCTGGAAGGTTCCATCCCCTGCGGGCCTGGTCTCCCCGAGCTCCATGTCCTGGGTCTGGTCCTCCCCGTCCCACTGCCAGGTCAGTGTGATCTCCGCAGGGTACAAGCCCAGGGCCCAGCACCTCAGGGTGGCCTCGTGTTCAGAGACGGGGTGGTGGGTCACGTGTGTCTTGGGGGGATCTGAAAGGAAGAGTCAGAAAACTCAGGCACTTTGCATCTCTCATGGGACACCCCAGCAGCACCCATGTGGCCATCTTGAGAATGTGCAGGACACCTGGGGTGGGGAAGGGAGCACAGAACCCAGACACCATCCTGGACACAGGCACCTGGGATGATCTATTCCTTGGAAAGTTCTAGTCTCTGAACGGGGGGAGCAGGGACTTCTGGTCCTGAGTGGAGGCCAAGGGATTCAGAGGAGCTGGAGTTAGACCCCCACACACATTGAGTGTGAGGCAGAGAACAAGGCCTGAGGGGAAAGGTCCTGGTGCCCAAGGCTGCTGTGGGGTCAAAGGGAACTCCTGATCAGTATTCCAGGGATTGTCTTCCCCTCCACTCCCTCAGAGACTTCATACCTTGACTGTCCCAGAGAGTAGGGCAGGCCCTCAGAGTCACTCTCTGGTACAGGATCTGGAAACCCAGGAGGATTCCTCTCCCTCAGGACCGGAGGGAGGGCGATAATCTGGTGGTGTTGCCATTTTCTTCCCTTCCTCATGCGAGGCCAGCCCAGGAGATCTACAGGAGATCTAGGAGGCACCCCATGGCCCCTGGTACCCGCGCGCTGCAGTGTCTCCTTCCAGTTCTACAGGTGCCTGCGGAGCCACTCCACGCAGGTGCCCTCCAGATAGGCTCTCCTTCGCTCAGCCACATTGGCCGCCTCCCACTTGCGCAGGGTAGTCTGACCCGCGGCGTGTCCAGGAGCTCAGGTCCTCGTTCAGGGCGATGTAATCCTTGCCGTCGTAGGCATACTGTTCATACCAGCGGAGGAGGCATCCGTCGGGCCCCAGGTTGCAGCCAAACATTACCTAGAGGGTGTGAGACCCTGGCCCAGTTCCCGCGGTCAGCCCCGCCCACCCAACCCCGGCCCGGCCCCTAGCAACCTGCAGAGATTTTGGCCTCAACTGAAGATGAAACCTGGTAAAGGCTCCTGGGGCTCTCCAGGGTCTGGGATCTCTGCAGGTCCCGCAGCCTCGGGGTCGATCTTGGACCCGGAGACTCAGTGGGACCAGGGCCGTCAGCGAGGCATGAAGCCGGGAGTAAGTGATATGCGCCCTGGGCCAGGGTCACTCAGCGGCCTCGCTCTGGTTGTAGTATCGGAGCAGGGTCCTCAGGTTCACTCAGCCAGTCTGTGCCTGGGCCTTAGCGCCCAGTGTCTGCAACTCCCAATACTCCGGCCCCTCCTGCTCCATCCTCGGACTCGCGGCGTCACTGTCGAACCGCAGGAACTGCGTGTCGTCCACGTAGCCCACTGCGATGAAGCGGGGCTCCCCGCGGCCGGGGCGGGACACGGGAGGTGCTGAAATATGTCAAGGAGAGGGAGCCTGGGAGCGCGGTGAGGCTGAGACCCGCCCGACCCTCCTCCCCGCGCGGCTCCCCGGGTCCCGCGCCCTCGCCGGGCGGTCCCTCCCTCCTCCCCGCAGAGGCCGTTTCCCTCCTGACCTGGCACTCACCGGCCCAGGTCTTGGTCAGGGCCAGGGTCCCCGAGAGCAGCAGGAGGAGGGTTCGGGGCGCCACGACCCATCGTCGGCGTCTGGGAAGACTCCGAGTCCAGGTGGGTGTGTGTGTGTGGACTTTAGAACCGGGTCGGCGCGACGCTGATGGGCTTCTCTAGCAACCCGACGCCCAGTGGGAGTAAGAACTGGGTCCGCGTGGTGAGTGTCCAGGAAGAAGGACCCGTTGCAGGTTGTGAGAGGGAAAAGAGAAACTGTGGAGATTAGGAATCCCCAACCCTGGGACCCCCTAGCCCATACACCGCCTTCGGGGCCTGAGACTCTGAGAACCACGCTTGGGGTCCTGGGACTTCGCCCTGACCCCGCTCCTCTTGTGCCAAGCGCTCTGTCTCACTGTTTCCCTGAGTCTTGGCCCAGAAGCTGTCTGAGAAACCGGGAAGAAACCCTCGGCTTGGGCCCTGCCCCTCTCCCTTCACTTTTCATCCCGGAATTCCTGTCCCTGAAGTGGACTCCCTGTCTCCCACTCTTTACCTGTCCCCCTGGAGTCTTCTAGAAGAAAACTCACCCCAGAGAGCTTGGTGCCAGAGAGGGAGCTCGCCCTGGGAATGGAGGTGTAGAGACAGGGCTTTTTTTTTCTTTTCTTTTTTCTTTTTCTTTAAATCTGGAAAAGTTGTGCCTGAGTGCATGAGACAGAATAGAGACCAGTTTGCTTTTTGTTTATTAAGTACAGTGGGTAGCAGAATCTTGGTAATCCCTGAATGATGAGGAATCTAATCGGTAAAAAAATGTGACTTTGGCCCCTTGATATATAAATGTGTCTAAAAGTGTTACAACAGGACTCACAAAGCTCCTAAGTTTCACTTTCGCAAACAATGTATCTGTGACTCCTGCTTGTATTTTACATTTACCTTCATTCCATAGCCCTGAGTTTCTGTGTGAGTCCAGGACATCTCCTCAATACAAAGTAGCCACTATGTTCCTATATGTTGCAACCAGGAGTCAGTACAGACTTTATTCACCTCAAAGTTGCAAGCACTAAATGCAGTCACAATGCCCATCACCAGTGCTCATGCACTGGCAGGTTTTAGGAAGTATCCACATCTAAGTAGTGTGTATATTTTATAGGAACACTTAGTATTTTTAAAACCTGATTAACATAAAAAATTAGTTTTTAAGCAGATCCACTTAAGGTGTTAAAGGCCAACTGCAAGTAACACCCTGTGAGGCTCTGTAGATGAATGTATTGAAATACTATAAATCAATGTGTTCAAACCTAAGAGTTCTGCTGCTTTTGAATTCTGTCCCCCTGCTCCTTTTCCTCACCTCCTGCATCCCCAGCCCTTCCCTCCATCCCTTGTATCCCTCAGGCCCTCCTCTCCCCTTAGTCCCTATCACACTGTCACTCCTGAATTATGACACTGGCACTCTCCCATTACCTGCTGCGTGACTGTTCTCTCCACAGTGGTCCTGCTAATGTGAGTCAAAGTGTGTCATTTCTCCACCTAAAACACTCCAGTGGCTCCACCTTGTTCTTGTGAAGCTTCTAGAATGTCAGGCACTTGAGCATATGAGGGCATACCTGGTTCATCGTAGGGATTAAATTAATTTTTCTTGACTGAATGAATGAAATATGAGTGTATTAAATTGCATCACAGAAAATTATAAAATGTAAAACACTGAAAAAGTTAAGAAAGATTTTATTTTATGTAACTAGTGTGTATATCAATTCATCAGTTCATTCCATGAGTCTGTGGAGTCTGTGTATGAATTTTATAAGAGTGTGTAACAAAGTGTCACAAACGTTAGCTTTAAACAACACCCATTTATTGTATTCATTGATTTGTTTTTAGAGACAGAGTCTCCCACTGTCATCCAGGGTGAAGTGCAGTCACATGATCATGGCTCACTGCAGCCTCAAACTCCTGGGCTCAAAGAATCCTCCTGCCTCAGTCTGCAGAGTAGCTAGGACTGCAGACAAGTGCCACCACGCCCAGCTAATTAAAAAAAAAATTGTAGAGACGAGTGTCTTACTATATTACCTGGGCTGGTCTCAAACTCCTGGCTGCAAGTGATCCTCCTGTGTCAGCTCCTCAAATGTTGGGATTACAGGCATGCGCTACCACGCCTGGCCAAACAACACCTGTTTATCTGTTTATAGTTCCTTAGTCAGAAATCTGAGCATGATGTAGATGGAATCTCTGTTCCGGGCTTCCCAAACCTGAGTCTTCATTTTGAATCCTTCTTTAGGCTTATGCAGAGGTGGCAGGATGCAGTTTCTAGCAGTTGTAAGACTGAGGTCCCTGTTCCTTCCAGGCTGTCAATGTAGAGAACAGAGAGGGCTGCGCTCAATTCCTGGTGCCCACCAGCGTTCTTTGCTACACAGCCCCTTCATTTTCAAAGCCCTCAGTGGAGGAAACCCCTCATGCTGAGTGCCTCTCACCCTGTGAATCTCTATGCTCAGCAAGAACCCAGTCCTTTCAAGGGCTCACCTGATTAGGACAGTCCAAGCAGGAGAAACCCGCCTAAAGTCAACTAATTTAGGCCCTTAATTATATCTGCTAAATCCCTTCACAGCAGCACCTACACTAGAGGTGGTTGAATAACTGGAGGAAGGTGAATGACCAGGAGGTGGTAGTTGGGGCCATCATAGAGTGAGCCTAGCAACGGTTGGATCTTCCTTTTGTGTTTAATTGGGACACAGTTGGAAATTGAAGTTCAAGTAAAGTGATCATTGTGAACGGTAATAAAATGCATCCTCTTCAGCCGTGGAAATTCTCCTTACCTTTTAAAACTAAGTTACATGTTTAATATCTTATAATTAATTTAGGCCAGGTGTGGTGGCTCACGCCTGTCATCCTAGCATCGTGGAAGGCAGAAGAAGGCAAATTTGTTGACTCCAGAAGTTCAAGATCAGCCTGGGCAACATGGTGAAGCCCTCATCTCTACAAAAAAGTTAGAAAATTAGTCAGGCATGGTGGTTCATGCCTGTAGTCCCAGCTACTCAGGAGGCTGAGATCAGAGGGTCCCTTGAGCCCAGCAGGTCAACACTGCAGTGCATGGTGATCATGCCACCACACTCCAGCCTGGGTGACAGAATGAGATCCTGTCTTAGAAATAATAATAATGATGATGATAAATTTGAGTAAATGCATACTAACATGTAATAATACACCCTGTCTTGTGAAAATGTATTAGTTATTTACTATTACATAAAAAATTATGTAAAACTTAGCAGCTCAAAACAACAAATATTCCTTATCTCTCACAGTTTCCAATGATCAGGAATCCAGGAGAGGTTTCCCTGAGTGCTTCTTGCTCAGGGCCTCTCACAAGGTTGCAGTCCAGTTGTCAGCCTAGGCCTGCATCATCTGAGGGCTTCGCTGGGGCTGAGGATTCACACGAAACATGAATCAGTCACATGGCTCTTGGAAAAGGCCTAGTTCCTTGTTGTCTGTTCCTAGAAGGCCTCAGTTCTCAGCCACGTAAACCTTCCTGCAGGGCCGCTTATGGCACAGCAGCTGGCTTCCCCCAGAGTTCATGATCCCAGAGACAGAGAGAGAGAAGGTGGAAGCCACAGTGAGTTTTATGTTCTACACCCAAACTCGCAAACTGCTATGTCAGCATTACTGTATGAGTTAGAAGTTATACTATTCTGTTCTCTCACTGCTGTAAAGAAATACCCGAGACTGGGTAATTTAAAAAGAAAAGAGGTTTAATTGACTCACAGTTCTGCATGGATGAGGAGGGTACCCCAGGAAACTTACAATCATGGCAGAAG